CACACTCCACGTCAGACATAATTAAACGGTTGAAACTCAAAAATCATGGATAGAAAACATGCGACACAACGCAAAGGTTGTGCTGAAAAGCTGAAGGAGAAAAAAAGAGGTCTCTTGGCAGGCAGCAAAGTGTCTCAGTATTACAGACTTTTCATTTGTGCTGCTGTTACTCATAGACAGCAGTGATGATTCCTGCAGCAGGGGAGGGTAGTAACTTGTTACAAGTAACGCAAATTTGTAAAATAAATAAATCAAATCTAAAAAATTGTTTCCAACTTTTCACGTTCCTTTATGTATTTTTACTCTTCACTCTAGTATTTACTTTGGGCCCAAAGTAGCCTAATCTACTATTAATTTCGTTACATTTTCTATTTTCTAATCTGCATTTTGCTTCATTTACTGAAATGCTGTGTGCGCAATTATAGAAGAGCTTTGATCTGGGGCTCTTGACACATATATGAATGAGCTGGACAGATGCAAACATTTAGAAAATCAGGCAAATACCTTTTCAGTTTAAGGCTTTATTGTTAAACGAATACAACTAAAATCCAGTGAGTGCACACCATGGCACTGGTGGCCCTGTTGGAAAGCAGCCTGCATACTGCATCACCCTTTCACAAGCCGGTGTAACACCAAAATCTGTGACCTATCAGATTCTGTGTTCTCTTACCATAACCAAGTACTTATAGTACCTAAACCCAACGAAGTACGTTTAGTACCTAAACCCAACCAAGTACTTTTGGTACCCAACCAAACTGCAGCTGCTTCACATCGTCAACAAAGCGTCTGGCGCTTAACTTCCCATTGGGGTCACAGAATCTGATAGGTCACACATTTTGGTGTCACACCGGCAAGTGAAATATGATACTTTCACTTTCCATTACTACCTTTTTATATACAGTCTATGAATACTACACGACCCTGTCCGCAGGAGAAGCGGTTGATCATGGATGGATGGACTTTCCATTACCGGCGTGTTAAAAGCTTATTTAGTCTCTGCAGGGCAAATGTGGACTACTCACTGTAACATCTAAATCAGATGATCACTGGATTGATTTTGAGATATTTACAGAATCCTGTTGTTGAGCAGAGCATCGCTTTGTTTTGATGGAAATTAGTCTGTTCTCTCTCTTCTAATTCACAGGGTAACTATTTTTTATAGCGATTACCAAGTCCATTAAACAGAATGTCGTAGGTGTAAATAATATTGGCTTTCACTCAGCTGCTGCCAGCTGTTATTTACTCAGCAAACAATCATTTTTGAGATGCAGAGAGAGTGTTTAAAAAAAAAAAAAGAGAGAGTGAACCTTCTCTTACGTTGTTTCATATCCATTCTGTGTTCTTTAGTTGACAATGTGAGAGAGCGATAAGGTCGAGTAAATCGGTGACGTCAAAACATGCTCATTACGGTGTGTGCAAGCTAATTAGTAGGTCGTGATATTACTACCATAACGTGTTCCCAGGTGGAAGGTCATGTTCCTGCGACCATGCGTAACGTTCCCTAAAAGTTCTCTTAAAGGTGGCCAACATTCTGATCCTTTACACAACATTAGGGAAGGAAAATGTCCTCCATTGGTAATGAAAGTGCTGCAGTTCAATGTTCCTCATATGACTTTAGGGTAAGTTTCTCTGACCAGATTTTGGTTTGGTGGTCAGTATGTCATTAAAAATATAATGTTATTATATATGAAATAAAAAGGGGACACTTTCGGTTTTATAATCTGTCAAATATAACTCTTCTGAATTAAATCAAGTCATTTTGAGGAGGAAACTACCTTTCAGTCAATATGCAAAGTTGAGGCTGCAATCATTTTTTTGCAAGTAAAAAATTGCATTTTATGTCTTGTATTTTAACAGGTAAAAAGGACTGGATTGGTTGGTACACAGCAAGTTAAATAATGCAGATTCATAAGGATAATTGCAAAAGAGATCATGTCTTTATTTGAAATATATAACTCAGCAGTAAGTCATGTTAATTATAGGCTACATTCCGTTTTCCAGACATAAACAAAGATATTAGACATATATGCCTACCAAACACATGTCATGCCTGGTTATGCTATAAATTGCAAACACTTATTTGGCCACAGTTGTGATTATTCTGTTAAAATGAACATATCACAAAGACAAATCTTTGCTATTACCTCGGACATAAAGTGATGTTTATTTGCACGTTATGTCTGTATGATCCAGAGTAAAGAGACTGGGAGATACATGCTGCGCGTGCTCCCGTGGACGTCAATCAGTTTTAAGGTTCGACGTGCTGTGCGTTCATAGATGGTATTCTGCATGCTTTGGTAGTAACGAGTAGTTTTTAAGTTAGGCTACTGTTGCCTTTCTCTCATCTCGAACCAATCTGCCCATTCTCCTCTGACCTCTGACATCAACAAGGTATTTTCGTCCACACAACTGCCGCTCACTGGATATTTTCTCTTTTTTGGACAATTCTCTGTAAACCCTACAGATGGTTGTGCATGAAAATCCCAGTAGATTAGCAGTTTCTGAAATACTCAGACCAGCCCGTCACTTAAATCCCCTTTCTTCCCCATTCTGATGCTCTTCAACAAGTTGTCTTGACCACCTCTACATGCCTAAATGCATTGAGTTGCTGCCATGTGATTGGCTGATTAGCTATTTGTGCAATTGAACAGGTGTACCTAATAAAGTGGCTGGTGAGTGTAGTTACTGAATATACTGTATATATATATAAGGGTGTATGATTTGTAACACAGTTTTCACACAAGTCCGCTTCTGTATTCACATTCACTGTTGACTTTTTGTCTCAGACAGGAATCAAATCCTGGTTGAAAGTCCGGTTTGCACTTTCAAACAGTATGTGCACAAATCCCATCAAGACTTTGCGCCTTGATGGGAACCATGCAGTAAATGGGGTCAAGCGCACATGGTTTGTTTTTATCTACTTCTAATTTGGACAGATTTAGCAGATATAGCTTACGTAGCTAAGAACTTAGTCCCTGGTTTGTTGCTAACTGGCTGAACCCAGAAATGTATAATTTAATAATAATTAATAATTGTAAAAAACTGAGGCCTTGCAACAGGTACAACTCTATCAACATCATTCTCACCGTATCATTTATCTCACTCTATCCCCCTGAGGGCGAATAACATTTTCATAAATTTCAACAGACCCATCACACATTTAGCTACATTTTAACCCTCCCTCTCTCTTCGGTTCGTCAGCGATTCTCTTCCCTTCAGCAAATCACAAACGTTGATCATAGAACCTCAACGCAAAACATCTTCCACTGTTTTCCCCAGAGAATATCAGTGTAGGGAGACTTTTTTGCTGTTTCTGTTTCAGTTTTTTGAGAATTAGAACCCGTGGAGGGGGGAACAGACTCTGGTTTAACAAGCCACCAAGACAGCCTGAAATCTTCATCATTATTATTTCCAGCTATGAAGAGACAGCACAGACACACACAATGCAGCCCTCACATGAAGCAGATCTGTGAACTGCAATTTGCAGGGCTGGAAAGATGTTGCGAGTCCCTCAGTCCCCTGTGCACTTGAAGGAGACATTTGGAGGTGGAGTGCATCGTCCTCCATGAAACAAGGAGCACTGGTAGCATTACGTTTCATTTTGTGTGTAGAGTGAACACACACACATATACACACATATATAGACATAGTAAAACACATCTAAACCTGTATTTAATTTATCCATGAAAAATTCGGTCTGCTCATCTCAAAGCAGTTAATCAGTACAGGGGTAGAGCGGTTGTCCACTAACTGGGAGGTTGGTGGTTAGAGCCTTGGCTCCCCCAGTCTGCATGAAAAAATGTCTTCGGGAAAGACACTGATTACTCACGGTGGTTGAATGTGTGTGAATGAGTTATTTTCTGTCTCTCACCTTAGCCTCTCTTATCAGTGTGTGAATAGGGTGAATGTGAATATTAAGCTGAGGGGAAAGCAGAGAGTAGTAATTCTCTGGGTTTGTCACTATGAGTGACACCTTTCACATACATATAGTCATTTGATCCCTTATTAATATAAAATATTGATTATAGCAGCTTTAAAAGCCCTAGTAAAATGGTTTGACAGGCTGCTCCATCCTCAGTTGATCAATTTTCAATTTAGGGGAAGTGATTTACTGTGTGTGTGTGTGTGTGTGTGTGTGTGTGTGTGTGTGTGTGAAACATCTTCGAGTATCTTTAACCAGTCCAGTTGCCCTTGATTTTAATCTTCCTTGGGAAGAATGACGGAGAACCTTAACAGACCGTTAAGTTAAGTTAAATAGTTGTAATAGTAACCAAAAAGTAGCTTAAAGGATAAATGGTTGAAACAGTGGTAGTCATGTAAATGCAAACTTGACCAAACCAACAAAACATTACATTTACAAAAACATTACTGTAACAAAAATAACTTTTATATGATAAACAGTGCTTTAAAGAAAAAACAGTTTAAAATCAGTACATCTGTGAGGATACATCTGAAAAACCTACTGTACTAGCAGTAATGATAAGATTTAATAATCATTTGGTGACTTTTGATGTTCCTATAATGATCACAGAAGGATTTAAACACATACAAATATTTTATGCAATTACTGTCTGTGGTAATGATGAATGGTTATGTTAGTTATGAAGGATTATGTCTTGACCTCATATGGTGTTATTGTAGTAGCCTATTTTTATGGTATTCTTGATAACACCTATTGCAAAGATGTACTGGAGGATCCCTGTGGTTTTCCAGGGGAGAGTCTCTAGGTCAGTGCTCTGTTTGTATACAAAAGCACGTCACTGTGCATAAAAAGTCTCCACCTCATACAGGCCACGCCTCATCCTCCTTACTTGTAGATGAGGGCTGATGCAATGCTCATCTTTATAAAAGGTGAGTCCCAAACCTTCTGCCAGCAGAACAGGGTCTTCTCTCCGAGCGTACCGCGTCTCTGGGAATTTACTTTTGATTTAACACTTCGGTCAGTTTATTCTATAGTGTACGTGTTCGTTACTTGAACTGTTTCAGCAAGTTTTTTAATCAGACCCTGTCTAGTAACCATTTATTCTACAATTTATTCATATTCAACCGAAATACTCTCAAGGATCACTTGGCTTTTGTGAAGAAACTGTCCTTGTGCAGTTTTTTTTTTTTACTGAGAGGATTTTAGAGGCATCCTGCCACATCTTCAGAGGGTAAGAACACCGGCATCTTGTGAAAAGGCAACATAGCCTTAAGCTATTAGATGGCAATATATTAAACTTTTTAGTTTGTCTGTGAAGGTTCTCAGTCATCCAGGTCACAGTTATCTAAGGAAGGTTAAAATCAAGGGCAACTGAACTTATTTGTACATTATTACCTCGTTATCTGTCTTTGGTTTGCATTTTGAATCTCATTTATTTGAAAGTCCATTAGTCCATTTCCTGCCAAATTAGATGTATATTCGTTACCCGGTCCAAAGAAATAAATAATGAAGCAGTGTGACGTGCAGTGCCGGAGCCAGTGGCTGGAACTCATGTCTGGATGTGGCACAGGGATATCACTGCAACACAGACATGAACTAATCCTACAACTTGTCACACACAACTTTCTCAAACCAGCACTGCTTTACAGTTAGAGTAGAGTGGAACACTGGGAGGGAGAGACAAAAACACCACAAACAAGATTTTGATCTGGCCCTAAACAGAGATTATGAAATGGCTGAATCTCACTCTACTGTCAGACCAAGTACAGACTCAGTGACTCAGTGACCCTTGCAATTGAAAAAGGGAGACATAAAAAGTTGTGGTTCCCAAAAGAATATAGAGCATGTGATAGCTGTACGACAGTATGTGTCAAAACCTGAGGAACAGCGAGTGACTCACCCAATTGTTTACCTTCTATCTGTATTTATTATTTCTGTTTTTGTAACTTATAACTGTTCAACTGAATGGTCTGCATTCATTCTTGTAATGTCATGTTCAAACTCTGATTTTGTTGCAAACTGCTTTGGCAACATCTGCGATGGACTGGCGACCTGTCCAGGGTGTACCCCGCCTTTCTGGGATTGGCTCCAGCCCCCCGCGACCCTGTACGCAGGATAAGCAGTTGACGATGGATGGATGCTTTGGCAACATTGTTGAACTGAAACCTGCCAATAAAGCACATTGAACTTGAACTTGAGTTAAACACAATCCGAGGGAAAAGGAAGTAACGTCATGCATGTCGGTCTACTATTTTTCGACTGCCAGTGTGTCACCCCTCCCCCTTCTCACCCTCCAAAGAAAAGTCACATGATCACATGAAGGAGCGTCTGTGGCGTGCGCCTGCTCACTGTATTGATCATTCTACAATTTAAAATAGAAAAAGAATTTAAAAGCACTGTGGCGGGACGGCAGGGCGCAGGGTGCAGGGATGCATAAAAATAAATAACAGAAAATATATGTGCTCCTCTTTTCTGCTCTGAAATGTACAGCATGAAACAGCCCACTGCCAAAACTGAGATGCTCCATTTCAACATCTCCCCCAAAGAAAACAGCATCAGCACCAACAGCTATGAGTACCCCTACTGGGACTGTCCCAAGGTCACACTGAATGGGTGAGACTGCCTGTAAAATGCCTAAATACACAAAATTTTAGGGGAAAAAAACTTTTCTGAGCTGTACATCATGTACGTCTACATAAACCACATTCTGTTATCTAAATTCTTCTGTCCTTTATTTTCTTTTTAAGCCAATACTCTGACATGGAGGCAGAGAGTCAAAACTTCCTCCCTGAACACAACCTGGGCAAGAAGAAGTATGAGACCGAATATGTAAGAGCTTCTGGCCATCCTCCAACAAAAGTATCTTCTTTGATCACATGTCTTTTTTTTCTAATTTCCTAACTGTGAACCTTTTAATTTCCCCACAGCACCAGGGCAATGCTTCCTTTGGGATGTCCGTCTTCAACCTGGGCAATGCCATCATGGGCAGTGGCATCCTGGGTCTGTCCTACGCTATGGCCAACACTGGCATCGCCCTGTTTGTGTACGTTTATTTTCTTTTTGTATCTTTTGTCTTCTTTCTCTTTGAAAGTATTTTTGCATTTTACAAGCAGGACTTTAGAGGTAAAAAAATTAATGAATAGTGCTTTACAAACATCTACAAGGCACCTTCAGGCATCAGGGAGAACACAGTCACAGAGAAAGGAATGTGGTTGTTGTCTATGTGGTTTTGTCTGATAAAGGTCATGATGTACTGAACCTCTGCAAGATGTTTATTCTTACCAGCACTGTTTGTGTGTGTGTGTGTGTGCGTATGTGTGTGTGTGTGTGTGGATTTGCTTGTTCCTGAGCAGCAGTCCACACCAGGGTGAAAGTTTACAGTTTGTCATTGTTACAGTATAAGTACTTGATATCATGTTCATTTTTAATGAGAAAAAATGTTCTCTTCAGGGCAAATTATGGGTTTATTTGAGAGCTCCTCCTATTGGTTATCCAGTGCATTGAGATCACATGTTCACAGACACTTTTGCAGCTTATGTGAACAATTTTATTATTATTTTTCATCAGTGTCAGTTACTGGTGTCTGCCTTTCTTACATTTCTGAGCGCAATTTCCTGAGAACCCCCCATGTATAAGAAGTCACACTTAAGTCACACATGAGAAAAAACTGTCTAAAGAAAACAATTGTTTTACTACCACACAAGCAGCAAACACATTGATTCCTCATAAAAGGTCATCTAAAGCATATTATTTGAATTGAAGCGTACGAAGCAATAAATTACAAGTGATTAGGATGTCAGACGCAGGTGCAGACTCTTGGGTCTAAAAGTCACCAGGGTCCAAATTCTCAGATTGCTGAAAATCCCATTTTAATTGAAAATTGGTGTTTCGAGGCCCCATGTTCATTCTAAAAATTAGCACACTTAGCAATGCAGCACTTAAACATCAATCAGGACCATTTTGTCATCAATTTTGCTGTACTTCGTTGTAATTTCCATCTTGTTTGCAATCAGCTCAAGATCCCTCTTGTCTGTTTACAGGATTCTCCTCTTGGCTGTCGCCATTTTATCCTTATATTCTGTCCACTTGCTGCTGAAGACGGCCAATGAAGGAGGTGAGACAATCCATCTTTACTCCCCAGTGGCTTCTTAAAGTCCTTCTGAATGCCAAATCTTATTTTCTGTGTGTATTTCCTCTTCACAGGTGCACTGGTGTACGAGCAGCTGGGTTACAAAGCCTTCGGGATGCCGGGGAAACTGGCCGCTTCCTGCTCCATCACCATGCAGAATATCGGAGGTGAGAGGCTGGCATTTCTATATTTATTCAATATGTGTTTATTCCACGAGCTAAAACCTCCTCTCCCGCAACTTACTTTTCCTTCCATTGGAGTGACTCAGCCCCTCACCAAATATTAGACATCACACTATTAGTGGAGTTCCCTTCATGGACAGGACTTAGCTGATTTTACAGGGAAATGTACTAACTGCAGTTTTTGTCTTTACAGCCATGTCAAGCTACCTCTACATCGTCAAATACGAGCTGCCGATCGTCATTCAATCCTTTGTGGGTTCCAATGAGTAAGTGACCAAATATTTTACTAGCTTCCAAACTCAGAAAAGACAGTACATTTGATAAACTGCAGGTAGAGCTGAAATGATTAATCAATAAGTTGTCAACTATTAAATGAATCACCAACTATTCTGATAATTGATTAGTTGGTTTGGTTATTCTTTTAAAGAACAAAAAGCAAAATTGATTGTCTTGGCCACCGTGCTGCAGCTCTTGGGTCTTGACAAGCTTCTTATAGCCTAGGCCATCTTTATGGTGTCATGTTGAATTCCAATGACCAGTATGAGGGAGTGTGAGAACGATGACACCAAATTTAACACACCAGCTCCCCATTCACACCTGAGACCTTGTAACACTAACAAGTCACCGGGGATGGAAAACGGCTAATTTGGCCCCATTTTTGATATTTTCACCTAGAGGTGTACTCACTCTTGTTGCCAGCAGTTTAGATATTAATGGCTATGTGCAGGGGCATAACCAGTTTAGAAATTAATGAGGTCAAGATTTTTATAATAGAGCCTATTTACATAAACACAACCAAAGTTATACATAACAGTCACACAAAGTAATCTATAATAAAATTAAAAAAAATGAAAGGGACCTTTTGGCCAAAGATCCTTTTATTTAAGCTGAATTTTGCTCTTTTCGTCGGGGGGTGTGTGTGTGTGTGTGTGTGTGTGTGTGTGTGTGTGTGTGTGTGTGTGTGTGTGTGTGCCTGCGTGCAGTGAAGGCTTAATCCCGCAGTGGGCAAAGCACTGTTTGGTTGAAGATCACACTACATACATGGTCTTTCTCCCCACTGCTTCGCTTACTGAAATTGTAGAAAATAAGATACAGACACTCAAGCTATGATCACATATAAAGTGCAAACATGGAGATCTTGGTACACTAATCTTCACAACATGCATTAGGCTAAATATATCTCAAATGTAGCGTACAACTGTCATTTCAGAACTATAGTGTGGGAATGACATGTGCAGAGTACATGATGGGCACTACAGTATGTGCTGTATTTTACAACATAAAATACAGCACGTTGGTGCTGAATTCAGAAAATAACTGTTACATTATTAATGATTTATCATCAAGAAACATAAATCTCCAGTCACATAATGATTAATTAATGACTTCAGCTGTATCACTAACATGTTGTTCTGTCATGTTGTGTTTCAGGGAATGGTACACTAACGGTAACTACCTGGTGCTGCTGGTGACACTCGTCATAATCCTGCCTCTGTCACTGCTCAGGAACTTTGGTAAGAAAAGTGTGTGTTTGTGTATTGTGATGCACTTGCGTGTGTGAAAGACACTGAAATTATAAAAAAATTAGCATTCTACAGCTTTAAAATAGTAATAAAATGTTGCCGTTTGGTTTAACCCCCACAGGTTACCTCGGTTACACCAGTGGTCTGTCACTGCTCTGCACGGTGTTCTTTTTAACTGTGGTGAGTAAACACATGTATTTCCTACCCAGCTTTTCCATGAAATCTGAGGCTCTCCTCTGAACACTGTAACAGAACAAAATGAAATACCGAAAATGCAATTAGGCTTTCTTTGGTATCTAAACTTGGGCTTGAGGTGTTGAATTGTTATTTTAACTGATTTCTCACAGTGGTCTGGTTTCAGGGATTTTTGCTTCCCATGATGAGCTACATGCAGTTTCAAAGGCTTTTTAACCAGAAAGAAAAGGAAGTTCTACTGAATATCAGCTTAAATCTGTTATCTGGTCCCCCAGGTGATCATCAAGAAGTTCCAGATCCCATGCCCTCTGCCAAAGGACATGTCCCACCTGAACACCATCACTGTGGACTACAGCGAGGACGCATGCACACCAAAATACTTTGTCTGGAACTCTCAGGTGAGGCTCTGAGACGCAAAACATCTGGAGAATTGAAATGTGTATTAAAACAAAAATCAGATGTAATATTTTGGTGACGTATTCACTGTTGTCCTTTTTTCCAGACTGTCTACGCTGTTCCTATCCTGACCTTCGCCTTCGTGTGCCACCCTGCCATCCTGCCCATGTACGAGGAGCTCAAAGAGTGAGTGCACGCAGCTTTCATTTCATCATTTTCACCCAAACTTTAAACAGCAGCTGCTTTCTTATCAGCGTTTTCACGTTTATTTTAAACTCAAGAGTTTAAATAATAAAAACTGTGTTCTAGTGTCTAAATGAAACATCCCCTCTTCTCCAAACAGCCGTTCCCGCAGAAAGATGCAGGGCGTTGCCAATGTGTCCTTCCTGGCCATGTTCATCATGTACCTGCTGGCCGCCCTCTTCGGATATCTGACCTTCAACTGTGAGTCTAAACCATCATTTAATGTGTGGTTGAATGTATGGTGGCAGCAGTGGTGTAGTCTAGTTTTTTTTCTAGTGAGTATACTGTGATTTTTCCCTCCCAGCCTCATACTCCCCCATCCCAGCGTGACGTCCCATGAGCGCCACTATTCTCACTAATAAATACTGTATGCATTTACATGTAATAGAGAGCATTCTGAAGGACTGCTTAGGCTATGTGTTATCAACAACGCAAAGACTTTAACAGCCAATGACAGTTACAGGTGGGAAAGGGCGTCACACAGTGTGTGTGACATTTTAGGGTTCAGATTAGAGTTGTGACAAAACACTTAGCATATGAGATGTGACAATCCAGAATATTGGGGTCACGAGATCAAGACTAGAAGATATTTTAATAGCATTTAAAGAAATATTCATTGATGAGTATACGACTGGGGGGTCAAGATTTTGATCATTAAACGTTTAATTTCCTGCATTCCGGAGACATTTTCAGCACCAATTTATGGTGGAAATGTCTAATGTTTAGTGTTAATCACCATCTAACTCAGCCAGTTAGGAGCTACATTTAGCCTTAGATGTTATATGAATCTGGTTTTATCATCTGGCAATTTTCAATGCACATTTCACAGTGCAAGTTGCAACTATTATTAACAATGATGGAAAGCTGAGGCTTTTCAGTAGCACTAATAACAATGAACACAGGCCTATGTGCAGTTCTATCACCCAAACTCATTCATTACAGAATATTAGCACTGAGGACACCACAAGTTGTCCACATCCTCCCAAGCTCACTTGGGAAAAACCATGACAAAAACCATTGTCAAACGTAGGTTATGTACTGTACCAGCTTAAATGCATGAGCAAGCATCCAGGAACTGCTACTACTGTACACACACACACACACACACACACACACACACACACACACACTATCCCGCATTCATTGATCCACCACAAAAACGTTAGTTATTTAGTTCTAGTTTCAATTCAATAAACCAACAATGCTGTTACAGTTCCGTTAATGATAGCGTTAATGATAACATAGGCATATATACTATTTTCACTCACCAGGTAACGTTACGTTAGCATCAGCCTCATCTGGCTCGTTTTCTGTGGGTTAGGGTTAACCCCGTGTGAAAGTTCTGTCACAAAACGATGTTACGTATCATCTCGCTATTTTAAGTAGGTATCCGGAAATCTTTGAACATTCCTAGTGGGTATACGACGTATACCTGCGTATCACGTAGACTACACCAATGGGTGGCAGGCATTTAGCTGACCAGTTTTGACATGAAGCAGATTCTATAATCCTAAAGGTAAAAGGTAAAGATACATTATAGTCACATACTCATACATATAGCGAAATTCATTCTCCCCATTTAACCCATTCCTTAAGGTAGCAGTGGGCAGCCACTGTGGAGTGCCCGGGGACCAACTCCAGATCTTTATCAGTGTCTAGGTCAATGGCACTGACTGAAGAACCTAACATGTTTTTTGATTTTTTTACCTTTACCTTAAGAAAGCAACAAAGAGTTAATCGTACCAGTGTGGGTTTACAAGCAGCCATTGTTCCTGAATAGGAAATGTCAAAGCAAATTAATCATCCAAAGTTAAGGGAAGGAGCTTCAAGGTCTAAATTAAATAATGAGTGTCCCTCTTGGAACAAACCGCTCCCGACAAGACTTGAGGCCTGTGCAAGACTGTGAAAAACCCCACCTGATGAAGCTGATCAGTGTGCCACCTGTTTGTCATGGCAGGAGTTAGTGCACAGGAATGTTCTGGAACAGGGACGTGCACGGACATTTTGGGGGGCAGGGGCTCAAGTGGAAAAAAAGGAGCACTTCTGATATATTTTGAATAACTGACTGCACCAAGGAGAGGGACATTAAAATAAACGGTTTAAATACTTTTTGTTTCACATGCAAAATGATCTTCAGCTCCACACAGCCAAGCAACATAATACTGAATTGCCTGAATCCATGAATGTAGTGATCAAATACATTATTATTATTATTATTACCACTCTCGCCAGGGCTGGACTGATAATCTGGCTTACCGGGTGACGCACCTTTGGGTGTAAAGTAAATTATTTATTTATATAGGCCTAATTGGTTTTTAAAAAACGGGCCAACAATCGGCCCGTAAAGCATGGACAGCGACCCATTGGGTAATTTTCTATACTGACACTGGGCCGTCTCTCTCACATCTCTTACTAGCCCCCACCCCCTCTGTTTCTTGCGTTGCGGGCCAGAAAAAAAAAAAACATTCTTCAGACGGCTGAAAAAACAGATATTTGCTACCGGGGCTGCAGTAGCTTCAACATCAGCTGCAGTACCCTGCGTAGTGCAGGCACAAGCGCCTGGAGGGGTAAAGAACTGTGGTGGCCGCTGACAGGCAGAGGAGGCGTGTGTAAACGAAGCAGACAGACAAAGTGACAGGGCCGAGTGAGAGAGAGAGCAGGAGGAGAGTGGAGGTGAGGCGGTAAGCAAGGAGAAGCTGTAGTAGTAGGGAGGGTCATTTACAGTGGGGACACCGGGGACATGTAGCCACCACTTATTGAAAGCATTTGTTAAAAATGTTCTGAAAAATGGCTTGCATCAAGAAATGTTTTGAGAATGGTTTATTTGCACACTAAGCCTGCAATGCAATGTAAATTTAGAAGAAACCTCTGCGTTAAGTAAGTAAGTAACTTAAGCAAAACATTGTCAGAGGACCACAGAGACCGTGACTGAGTGTAGGGATGGAGTAGATCTTTGAGGGAGTGAGGTGCAAGTCCATGGAGAGATTTGTACGTCTGTAGGAGGATTTTATATTTGATCCGAGACTTAACTGGCAGCCAGTGGAGCTTCTTCAGGATGGGAGTGATGTGAAGTCCATGTTCTGTGTGGTCGAGCATCCTTGCTGCAGAGTTCTGGACATACTGGAGTCTGTCAGTAGCCTTGCTGGACAGACCGAACATGACACCGTTACAATAGTCAAGTCGGGAGGTGATGAAGGAGTGGATGAGGGTAACAGCTACAGAGTTGGAGATGTTCTGAAGATCTGAATCTGAAGATACCCAGGTTGCGTACTTGAGGGGATGCAGAGATTGAGCAGTCATCCACGTCCAGTGTGATGTCACCAACCTTTTTGAGAAGTGACTGTGGGGCAAACACCATGAGTTCTGTTTAGTCTTTATTGAGTTTGAGGAGGTTACTGTACATCCAGTTCTTGATGTCCTTCAGGCAGTTAATAAGCGAGATGCGTTACCCCAATGTGGGTGGTGTCATCCGTAAACTTCAGGAGCTTTACGTACTGGAGACTGGAGGTGCAGCTGTTGGTGTACAGGGAGAAGATAAGAGGGGAAAGAATGCAGCCCTGAGGGGATCCAGAACTGATGGTCCTGAAGTCAGAGAGATGTTTTCCCAGCTTAACATGCTGCTTTCTGTCCTTCTGGAAGTCTGTGATCCACCAAATAATGCTCCCACCACAGAATCATTTTATATTGTACTACTACTCACTCCATGTGTACTGTACGGAGATGCGGAGCATGTTGAAATACTATATTATACCATCTTTATTTAAGATATCAGGGGTAGCGTATTCTGATGTTACTGACAATCAGCCACTTTCTCGACTGCACTCAGCACCCTTCTTTCTAAACGTGTCACATATTGCGTTCATGAATCGTGCTGCGCGTGCTTCAGGTCTAAAAGGTCTCTTGTGTTTCAACACAGTGAACGTGGAGTCTGAGCTGCTGCACACCTACTCCAAGATCTACAAGGATGATGTGTTGCTGCTGATCGTCCGCCTGGCTGTGCTGGCCGCCGTCACTCTCACCGTCCCCGTGGTGCTTTTCCCTGTAAGTATCAAAGAGGTCGAGCACATCTTAGATTATTGCTGGCACAAGATTTTAGGGGATCATAAAGGATAACCTCTCTTTTTGTCCCTCTCTCTCTCTGTAGATTCGTACCTCTGTAAACCAGCTCCTGTGCACCTCTAAGGAATTCAGCTGGATCCGCCACACCATCATCACTGTGGCCCTGCTGGCCAGCACCAACGCCCTGGTCATCTTTGTCCCCAGCATCAGGGACATTTTTGCCGTCATCGGTGGGTGCCTTTGAGCGTGTTAATGCATATGATGCTACAAAAAGCGTCTCAAATACAAAATGAGGCTAAAATTCCAAATGTCTCCCCTCACACAGGCGCTTCTTCTGCCATGCTCATCTTCATCCTGCCCTCAGCTTTCTACATCAAACTGGTCAAGAAGGAGTCCATGATGTCTGTGCAGAAGATCGGGGTAAGGAGTGAGATCTTACATCTACAGGGACGTTAGAGAATTAGCAGAAACTTCAAGCCATTTATAGAAGCTTTTTATACAGTTGAAGTCACCTTGAGGCAATAATTCGACATGTTGAATAACAGACTAATTTGCTTTGTTGCTGAGAGATCAAAGATCAACACCACGTTCATATTTGTCTGTTCAACGTGAAGCTGTAGCCAGCAGCCCATTAGCTTAGCTAAGACTGAGTGGAAACAGCTATTGGCCATTCCTTAGGCTTTATATTGAACATAAAGATAACAGAAAATCTTCTCATCTAACTGTTGCAAGAAAGTGAATACGCATATTGCTCAAATTGTTAAGCTCTTCCTTAAAGTCACTCAGTGTGAACACTGAATGTGAAATTGTTCTCCTGTCCAGGCCACTGCCTTCCTGCTGTTGGGCTTCGTGGTCATGATCGGCAGCATGACCCTCATCATCCTGGACTGGGTCCACAATGCCTCAGCCAGCTCGGACTCAGCCGACGGACACTAAAGCTCCACCTCCTGCTGGGCCTGTCGAGGAGAGGGAGGCTCTCAGCGCAAGACTGCTACAGCCGCGCAACCAACAAAGATCAGAAACCTATTGTAAAATGAAAAACACAAGAACTCACTTGATGCTCGCCTTTGACTTCCTGAGCGACGAACCATGCCATTCCAAGAGAATGTATCCGAACTTTGTACAGTACGCTGTTATAGGCCACAGAGATGGTGTTTTCCTTGTTTTTCCTCTTTTTATCCTAACCTTTTTTCTTTGTTGTATTTTGAGTGTTGTTACATACAGTTGGGAAGTATTCTGCTTTTAAAATGTTTTACAATGAAGAACTTGCTTTTCGGTTGGGTGATAACGAAGCTAACACCACCGCCAGAGTGAGGCTGAAAGGTGGCATCAAGGAGGCGAAGCGGAGACATCAGAAGAGACTGGAGAGAGACCGCAACACCAAAGATATGTGGCAGGCCATCAAAAACATGACAGGTTACAAAAGCAGGAGCTCCCCAATCATGTGTGAGGCCACATTACCCGAGGAATTTAACATATTTTATGCTCGCTTTGATCTCCTCAACGAGGAGTCAGCTGTAAAGTCTACTGGCCACTGTCAGTATCCACAGCAGATGTGAGGAGAGTCCAGCTGAGAGTGAATATGAGTAAATCAGCTGGGCCATGTCCTAAAAACCTGTGCCAATCAGCTAATTGATGTTATTACTGACATTTTCAACATCTCACTGTCTCAGCAGAGGGTTCCCACCTGCTTCAAGACAGCCACCATCTTTCCTGTACCTAAAAAGTCTGCAGTGTCTAGTCTGAACGACTGCTGCTCTGTGGCTCTCACCCCAATTCTGATGAAGTGCTTTGAGAAGCTGGTTCTTCAGCACATAAAGAACAACATCCCAGCCAGCCTGGACCCTCACCAGTTTTTTTCAGAAGCAACAGATCCACAGAGGATGCCATCTCCACTGCCCTCACACACCCTGAGAAAAACAACACCTACATCAGAATGCTGTTTGTGGATTTCAGCTCAGTGTTCAACACAATCTCCCATGAAACCGATCAGCAAACTCTGGGTTTAAAGACAACACTCTGCAATTGGATATTGGACTTCCTCACAAACAGACACCAGTCAGTTCGGATTGGCGGACTCACCCCCTACACTCCCCTCCTGTTCACACTGTACACCCACGACTGCATCCCCCCATGTGGACAGAACTCTGTTGTGAAGCTTGCAGACTCTTAAACTCTAATTCATCCTCAGCACTGCTCCAGTGATGATAGTTTATTTCTGTTTACCGTTTTTCATAATTGATTCTTTATTAATGTATATTGTCACTCAACTTGTTACATTGTAAAAATAAATCTGCCTACCTACCTAACTTGATAGCTCAACGTGGACTTGTCATCTGATGGTGCACTGTGCTTCCAACCACAAACATATATATATATATATACACATATACATACATACATACATACACACACACACACACACACACACACACACTTACAGAAACATTTAATTCTGTCTTCAGTGAAGACTTTTTTTCACCACTGCATTTGTTGCTATCTTTATAAAGATGTACTGGCTTGTATAATTCAAATGGATTGATGTATCAAAATGTCTTTGAACAGGTTCATGATCTACCAGCAAAAAAAACCAAACACGTCTGTGTCAAGTTACGCTAAGACTTACCCTTAGAAAATAATAAAATAATAATAATTTTTCATGGAAGTAGTATAAAATTTTAATTAGGACTAGGTAAGGCTTTATGCTGTGGCCCTACAGTGTCCCAGCTATAGTTGTCTGCATGCATTTGTTAGCAAACATTTTCAAGCAGAAACAAAAAAATGTTTAAACTTAAATCAATTCCAGTAGCACTTACAATCATTCTGACTTTTGGGTTACACACTCCAGAGTGTTCTCTTTCAGAGAAGGCCAAAACCATGCATATACTCCAAATGGTTCAAGAACTACAGGTGAAACTCGAAAAATTAGCATATTTCAAGCCTTTATTTGATATCATTTTTAATTTTATATTTTTATTGCATACAGCTTATGAAATCCCGAAATTCAAAATCTCAGAAAATTAGAATATTACAAGAAATCAAAAAAAAAAAGATTTTAAATACAGAAATGTCAGCCCTCTGAAAAGTATAATCATACATATGTACTCAGTACTTGGTTTGGGCCCCTTTTGCATGAATTACTGCCTCAGTGCGGCGTGGCATGGATGCTATCAGCCTGTGGCACTGCTGAGGTGTTATGGAAGACCAGGATGCTTCAATAGCGGCCTTCAGTTCTTCTGCATTGTTCGCTCTCACGTCTTCATCTTTCTCTTGGCAATGCCCCATAGATTCTCTATGGGGTTCACGTCAGGCGACTTTGCTGGCCAATCAAGCGCAGTAATCCCATGGTCATTGAACCAGGTTTTGGTACTTTTGGCAGTGTAGGCAGGTGCCAAGTCCTGCTGGAAAATGAAGTCAGCATCTCCATAAAGCTTGTCTGCTGAAGGAAGCATAAAGTGCTCTAAAATGTCCTGGTAGACGGCTGCGCTGACTCTGGACTTAATAAAGCACAGTGGACCAACACCAGCAGATGACATGGCTCCCCAAACCAACACAGACTGTGGAAACTTCACACTGGACTTCAAGCATCTTGGATTGTGTGCCTCTCCGTTCTTCCTCCAGACTCTGGGACCTTGGTTTCCAAATGAGATGCAAAATTTCATCATCAGAAAAGAGGACTTTGGACCACTGAGAAACAGACCAGTTCTTTTTTTCCCCTTCTGACGTTGTTTGTTGTTTCACAAGAGGAATACGACATTTGAAGCCCATGTCCAGGACCCGTCTGTGTGTGGTGGCTCTTGATGCAGTAACTCCAGCCTCAGTCCACTCCTTGTGAAGCTCCCCCACATTTAAATAGCCTTTTCCTGACAATCCTCTCCAGGCTACGGTCATCCCTGCTGCTTGTGCACCTTTTTCTTCCACACTTTTTCCTTCCACTTAGCTTTCTATTAATGTGCCTTGATACAGCACTTTGAGAACATCCAACTTCTTTTGCAATTACCTTTTGAGGCTTTCCCTCCTTGTGGAGGGTGTCAGTGATGGTTTTCTGCACAACTGTCAGGTCAGCAGTCTTCCCCATGATTGTGAATTCTACTGAACCAGACTGAGAGACCAATTAAAGGCTCAGGAACCCTTTGCAGGTGTTTTGGATTAATTAGCTGATTAGAGTGTGACACTTTGAGTCTACAATACTGAACCTTTTCACAATATTCTAATTTTCTGAGATTCTGAATTTTTCATAAGCTGTACGCAATAATCATCTAAATTATATCAAATAAAGGCTTGAAATATCTCATTTGCATGTAATGAGTCTATATATTAGTTTCACCTTTTAAGTTGAATTACTGAAATAAATGAACTTTTGTACAATATGCTAATTTTTACAGTTTCAACTGTACATTAAATTTACTTTGGATATGCCTTGAAAAGGCATTTTGCATGAATTTTACAGGAATCGTAAGAGGCTGAGATTAGTCCGTAGATGATGCTTACAGTTCATATGTCGGTGATAAAATTCTGAAGAAATTGTCCATCAGTCTGCTGGTTTCAGGTGTATTTTGGTCAAATGTGGACTCACCTTTCGATGGATCTGAACACCATTTGAAACACTTGATATCTAGTATCCAAAGAAACAGCAACAACACTCAGGTAGGTTGTCACGTTTAAACGATGCTCAATTGGTACTAAAGGGCCCAAAGTGTGCCAAGAAAATATCCTCCACACCATTACACCACCACCATCAGTCTAAACCGTTGATACAAGGCAGGATGGATCCATGCTTTCATGTTGTTTAAATTCTGACCCTAACATCTGAAAGTCACAGCTGAAATCAAGACTCATCAGTCCAGGCAATGTTTTTCCAATCTTCTGTTGTCTAATTTTGGTGAGCCTGTGCTAATTGTAGCCTGTTTCCTGTTCTTAGCCAACAGGAGTGGCACCCAGTGTGGTTTTCTGCTGCTGTAGCCGGCTAGTGTTGTGTGTGTGTTGTGCTTTCAGAGATGGTATTCTGCCTTTTTACCAACTCGAACCAGTCTGTCCTTTCTCTTCTGACATCAACAAGGCATTTTCCTCCACACAACTGCTGCTCGCTTGATATTTTCTCTTTTTCGGACCGTTCTCTGTAAACCCTGGTTGTGCGTGAAAATCCCAGTAGATCAGCAGTTTCTGAAATACTCAGACCAGCCCATGCCACATTCAAAGCCACTTAAAGCCACTTTCTTCCCCATTCTGATGCACGGTTTGAACTTCAGGGGTTATTTAAATTCCTAAATAAGTTAATTCTTTTGGGGCATTTGCATATGTATATATCAGAGGACGTCTTCTCTTTTCTATAATCAGTAATAAGAAACTTTTACAGTTATTGCTTTTAGAACCAGAGAACTGTCCACATATCCTCAGAAGATGACAAAGTGCCTCCATTGAGGTTCCCAGGTTTGAAACACAAAACATCTGCAAAAAAAGATAAACAATGTTCTGTTTGTGATTTCAGACGACTAACATTGCCATGGTCAAGGGTTCAATGGGAAACAAAAAAATGACATGACAAAACGACATAGGTCAGCCCTGGTGTTTACATCAACAAAGGCTTTGAAATTGTTTGAAGTCATTTTTGCTACTGGCTCAGTATATAATAATTTGATTCATTTTTCCTAAATCCAGTATCAAAAAGGTATCTCCATTTAATTCTGTCAAAAGCCTTTTCGGCGTCTAATGACATGATTGCGCGGGTTTGCTCAGCATGCATTGAAATGCTTTTCTGCCCTGCACAAATTAATTTTAATCATTAGCAATCAGGTGGGGCATGATTGTTTCTATTCAACTAGCCAAGAACATTTTGCACCTTAGTGTTTTGGTGTCACATGGCAGAAGAGATATAGGCCAATAAGACACTATCTGAGGGACATTTACCTTGTTTTAACTGAAGAAACTGCTGCGGTTCTAGAGATATGAGCCAATATTCCTTTTCCAGGTGGTTCAACATCTCAAGTGTGGCAACGATCGATCGATAAATAGGTAGGCTATTAGGCCCGGATTTCCTACACCTGACTTATCCGGTTCTTCAGATTTATAGAGATCTTCATAGTATTTTGTAAAAGCAGTTTTCACTTAAACTGGAGTTTCCCCATCTTCTAGTTAAATGGATTCAATAGCTCTGTTTGCCTGTATCCTTTTAATTCTCCTTGCTAGCAGCATCTGGGCTTTCCCCCTGGTCACATTATGATTCACTGTGATAAAGTTGTTCTAACTCCCTACTTTGTGTTGAAGAGTGTCCAAATGTTCAAAATATACTATAGATTTTATTATCCCTCCACTTATATATGCTTTGAATGGCTCACACTTGCAAACTTCGTTTATGAATATATCATAGGATATAACGACACCCACCCTGCAATTGTTCTCCAAGTGCAGACTAACAGGTCTCATCAAGTATTACTACCTGTTGAAACACAATGAAGCATTCTCCTCACTTTTCTCTTGACAACGGTGCTCCCTAGTGGTCAGAGGACACACCACAGCAGGAGACAAGTTCACTTACCGTTTTTAGCCCACACAGATTAAATATTTATATAATGCTGAGCACCAGGATTATCAGCCGGATGAAAAGATAGGGTGGCTTAAAATGAGTTTACTTCATGTGAATCATGTGAAGACATGCCAGGGAGATACACACACCAAGACTTCACCAACTTCTTACATTCTAGCCTGTAACTGAGCTCGAAAGTCTGTGACTGACCTTAGAAACATTTGACAAAAGATTCTCACCACAAGGTCAATTAAGTCGCTGTTCTGGTGCTTTTGATTTTATCACATGATCGAAATCAGCACATTTAGTTTGTCCATTTGTCATGGAAATGTAGAAAGAATTCCGGACTTCTTGTCCATGTTGGCTCGAAAGTTAAACATAAATTTATGTTGGTTGGTCTCAATAGAGGGTATGCACATGACGTCACAGAGCGCAGTTAGGCTCACTGAGTGGCAGAAAGATGAGCAGCGGTGTTAGCTTCAATCAGCTAAAACACAACCAACACATCTAAAATGGGAAAGAGCTAGACCGCTGGTACTATGGTAAGCAGTAAGGATCACTGTTGAGTCCGATTCCCTTTAATTTGAACAAATAATCACTTGTTTTACTCCCGGTTTGCTAAACGCAGCCATGGTAACAGATGTTTTGCCACTCAGTCCAGCGTGTTCCGGAAGGGGAAGTGACATCAATGCATACCTTCTATTTTTTACTCTGCTACCTTAATGTAGGTCTTTAACCTCGGCTATTTCAGTGATTGAGCCATGTTTATCTAGCGCTCTTAAAGGCCCTGCACAACCATGGAAAACCTACAGGCAGCAGTTGATTGGCGATCTCCCCAACTCTCACTGTAGCTTTGTTGGCCACCTTTAATTACATTTCGACTAGTCATAAATGGAATGCACAGCCATTACTATTAACACTGACGAATGTCCAGGTAAGCATCAATCCCATGACCCAGAAACTGAAGCAGCTAAATGGAATCATTTATTTTATTATTTACACTGGAGCTTTTTCTACGGACACGTCAAAATGTCTTCAGCGAAAAAGGCCAATTCTCATCACTTCATAGTCTGATGATATAATTCCCAGCAAAGCTTCACCCACTGTCAACCTGAGATCTAATAAACCAGATTCTTTACAAACACCTGAATGCAGGAACTTTAATCACCTGTGGCTGTGACTGCGTCCTTCAATAACAATGTTTCTTGACGATCTGTTGATTGAAAGCACAAGCTGCCATTTCGATTATTTATAGCAATCTGCAGGTCAGCTACAAGCTGTCCGGCCCGCAACTTCCGAAACACCAAAGCAACAAAGATGGAGACAGACTTTCCATCTTTAAAGTCTAAAATGGAGGCATTTCTTTCCTCCACGCGACGCCTCTGACAAACACACAGAGCAGATCAGGAAGCAGCTAATTTATTTCACTACTCTCTTGATACTTTGCAACGTTCATGTTCACCCATTGAAATTTATTACACATTCAGGCAGGGGGCGGGGGTTCATGTCATGTGATGTGCCCACCTGGGCCCTGTGCCTCACATTACACACTCACTGCTGATCGGCCATCGCCCTTAGCGTCTCCAACCAATCAGGGCCCTGATTACAATCACACTCATCAGATGATCCAGCCCGTCGTTGGGCCACAGAGATTAATAAAGGCAATGCACTGTTTTTTTTAAACTAGGCTTTCATCTGAAATATTACAGAACATTTTAAAAAAGAAGATTGACATTATTCAATTAATAAGCTATGCGATCAGGGCGCCATATAGGAGAAAATCTCGTACCATCCGGCACCCTGGGAGAGGCTCTCCACTACATGAGCTGTCGGCGTTCACTGAGCGTTGCATCTTTAGTATCAACTGTCCCACCCCACCCCCCCACGCTACCCTGCGCTCCTTACAGTAGTTCCCAAGTCACATAATCTATGCAAAATAAAGGGCTCTTGCATTACAATTTCTGATTGGGTAATTCTTTTCTAACAAAATATGAAAATCTATAGAAAAAAATCTTCATCATTCAATAAAAGGTAGAGATATCAAAAAAGAAAATGTCGGCTCTCCGTCATCTTTCAGTTTGGAGGCCAAATTCCAGCTAGAGGAAATTGCACTTGAGCAGCTGAATGGGTCTGTGAGGGCATCGCCACGCCAGCAGCAGCCCGGGATTTTATTTCTTGCGAGCGTGCTTGTATTTGTCCACATAGGCCTTCACCAGGTTGGCCACCTTACTGGAGTTCACCTCACCACTCTTGCTGTGACACACCTGAGGGAAGAAAACAGCAACAGTCAAACAAACTGTCATATTTAAGGTAAACATTAGCTGCTAGCTGGCGAAAAACGCTTACTGGAAAAAGAGCACAGATTAATTCTGCATCTCAAATTTCTCCCCCCATTTGCGCTCCAGCAACACCTGCCGAACTCATTACCCAAGATAGTGTTAAGTTTGCAAGTTCGTCTGTCACCCATACCATTGTGAACTAAAAGTGAGACGCGTTTACCTTCTCTACCGCTTTGCGGACAATCTCTTTGTACTCCTCCTTGGTGATTTCCTTCCTTTGGTAAAAGGGTTTGATGGCTGTCTTCACTTCATTTATAGCTTTCTCTTGGATCTGTTGTTTCTAAAGCAGAAAGAGGAAATGGGATTGGTTGAAAAGACAAAATTTCTTGAAACAGTCTGTGATGGAGTGACAGGTGGCTGCAGGTTACCTTTTCTTTTTTGGAGCTGTCGGCTTGAGCCTTGTTATACTGGCCGGGCTGAGTTGTAGAGGATGGTAGCACCTGGCTGGGTGCCAGCTGGCCCTGGGTCGTCAGTGCCTTGGTTGGGGTGGGAAGAAGGGCAGGTTTCCCATAACCCACCATTGCATTCGCCATCTTGGGCAAACCAGAGAATGAGAATAAGCATTGTGGGAAGTCTGCTTAACAGTACTTGTGTTGGTTTTTTTTTTTTCTTATACATTGTATCAGGGATGGAAATTAACACCCGCCACCCGCTAAATGCGGGTGGATTTTCCGTTTGGCAGCCAAATGTTGGAAGGCTACATGCTACATTAGCAGGTAAATATATTCGCAACATCATTTCTATTTGATGGTAATTAGCAGCAGACCAACGTTCTTGTTGGTTGTGTGTCACAAATGTACCAAGGGATCTAAAACCATGTTACACACGGATTAGGGGCATTACTTGTGTTTGATTGGCGTAGATTTGTAAGGGGTGGGCGTTAGGGGCCAGGCGACCTGAGTCGGGAGGGGAAGAGGGGAGAGTGAGCGTGTAGCTGCTTTCATACGGAGATCAGCGCGAAAAGAACATCCGCATTTATGTCGCATTTGCTTATTCATACTGAACAAAGGTTTGCAGCTTTAGTGCGTGTGAAAAGGCCTTCATCCCATAATCATGTGTGCACGTTGGCTTTGGCTTTCCACAGACAGATCGTTCCGTCTTTCTATCTCTAGTTTGTCACCAAGTTTCCCTGCTTTGAGGCGGATAAAATCTGCTCAGTACCTTTCATAAAGTGCAGCAAGCCGGCAGATTGGCGCAGTACCCCTGTGAAATAAGGCAGCGTCAAAGCTGCTAGTGTTAGGAGCTAATTACAAAAGTTGTAGGAGTGTTTTTAGCTTTTAGCTGGGTAGTTGGCGGTCCAGTCAGTGTCTGATCAGATGTCAGATCTTCTAATGGTCTTGCTGTTCTCCCCAGAGATCAAGCAGAATGATCCATAGGCTGTATAAAAAAGGTTGATCCCATAAAAGCTGTGATGCTGTGGACCAGGACTCTGTCAGAACCAGGAGGCCAGAGGAGGGGGATTGTAGAAAGTGAGCAGTCTGATGAGAAGGCTTCAGTTGAATGATAAAGCATGACTAAGAGTGAGCAGTGATACGATTTAAGCTGAAAGATTAATAAGCATCTTGTTTATAAAACAATTTACTGTTATTAAGTACATTTAATAGCATTAATATAATTTTGCTTCAAATTCACTCTGGCCTCTTCTTTAAGTTTGTATTTGACACAATTCCTTATTATCCCAAAAGGACAGAAACAAATGTGTACGTGACACAAAAGGCAATTTATTATTTTGGCCGGTAAAAAATGTGTTTGGCCGGTGGATCTACCAGCCAACATGGCAAGTGAGCCAAAAGTTAATTTCCATACAGAGTCTCAGCACTGGTCCCTTTTCTGTTCATTATATACCATACCTGTGTCGTGTAGCCATCAGGTGGAGCTGCTGCTGTCTGGCCACCTTGCTGCATGGGTGGAGGCGGTGGGGGAGGCGGTGGGAGGCCCTGAGCTGCGACAGAGGGGACCTGAAGCAGCGGTACGGCAGGGTGGAGGTGCACGGGGACCTGAGGAGGCATGGCGTACGGGGCTGCGGGCTGCAAGCTGACTGGCAGGGCTCCTCGAGGGCCCTGCATGGGGTAGTGATGGTGAAGAACATTCAGCTGAGGAGGAATCATGTTCATCACAGGCACCGGAGCGTTCCCTGGGACTGCCTGGGGAGGCGGCTCGCTTTTAGGGGGATCTGGAGAACAAGAAAAATTTAATTAAAAAGGACCTGTTAGGAAAAAACTTGTCGTCCTGTTCAAAAACCAAAACCGCCCCATTTTGTAGTTCAGTATGTAATATTTAGTGATATTTACTTAATTTATAAATGATGAAATGTGCATGAGAGGTTTCACAGTAGGTGTTAATGCCTTTTTCTCAAAAACAGATATTGTGTGAGTAAAACAACTGTGAGACGTTCAAAAGGAATAAATTAACTACTTCAAAGAAATCGCTCTCAAGTGTACAGAAGCGCAGGTGCCTGGGGGTCATTTTTGGGTTGTTTTGTGCCTGTTCAGTTAGCGCCAGCTACACCTCCAAGATTATCTTTCCCTGCTAGCCTGAAAGGGAACATTAATCCCCAACACCATTACTACTGCTTGGATTTTAGAGAGAAAGAGCATTTGGCTGATATGTTAGTTGCTTTATCATCGTAATTTATTTATTCGTTATTAAAGAAAACCTGAGGAGGGTTTTGACCTGCTGCTGCTGCCGCTGCCGGCTGCTCCTCCTCCTGCCGGTTCCAGCCTCCTGGTCCTCCTCTCTCCCTCTTGGAGTAATAATCCTGAACATCTGCGGGTAGTGTCCTCCTGACAGCCCAGCTGGACGCCGATGACCAGCCTGACCGGTCGACCATAGATTCTCCCGACTCAGACTCTTTCCTCCGGCCACCGCCCCGGTTTTCGTTGAAGCGGCTGTACGCGTCAGTCCCTGAATTGTTGCCTGTACCTGAGAAGTTGTTTCTGGGCTGCCATCGGCTGTCGGCTGTTTCATCCTGCTGGCTGAAGAAGCTACGGTTGCTGCCACCGCGCCCTGCGCCCCCCCGGCCGCGTTCAAGCCCTCCGCGGCCCCCACGACCCCGTGGCTCTCCTCTGTTCCCGCCACTGCTGCGGTTGTCTTCCCAGCGTGAGCCACCACTGGAGTTCCTCTCAGCATCAGCGCGACTCTTTTCTGTAACCCAGTCGGGATTTTCCGACCAGCCCTGGCGATCAGGGGAACTTTCTGTAGGCACACCATTTTCAAAACGCCCAGCGCCTCCTCGATACCGCTGTCCCTCACCACCAGACCCACTGCCCTGCCCAGACCTCCAGCCGCCCCTACGCTCTTTCCTCTGAGGAGATTGCTCTCTGGAGGCTGGTCGTTCGGGGCTGGGCCCTCGCCTGTAGGTCCTTGTTCTGGACCGTGACCTCGACCGGGACCTGGACTTGGACCTAGAACGACTCCTGGATCGCCGCCTCCTCCTCTCACGACTACGCTCCCTCCTAGAATAGTCTCTCTCTCCGTCCCGGTCCCTGTCTCGGTCTCTTTCTCTGCTGCGAGCTCGCGATGAGCGGCTAGAGGGCGGGCTGCCGTCACGTTCTCTAGACCGTGAGCGTGAGCGCCTGGTCGGTTCTCGCTTGGAGTCCCTCTTAGGGGACCAAGTAGAAGATGGGGAGTGAAAGCGAGAGCGCCGCTGTCTGCCATTCTTCCTCTCTTGGCTCCTTTCTCTCTCCTGTTGGTCCTTGCGGCTCTCGTCCTCAGAGACTTGGCTTGCAGAAGCAGGAGGTTCTACCGCAGCTGGGGAAGCGCTCTCCTTCGGTAGTTCAAACATGGGTTCGTCATCATGCTCACTGGTGGGTGAACTGCAGTCCATGGGGACAACTTTCGTGTCATCCTGAGATGTACTGTCCTCCTTGCTTTCTTCCCCGGGGCTGTCAACTACTGAAGGCTCGTCTGATCCAGCCTTTTCTCTACCAGCGTCCTCAGAAGCTTTTGATTGTGGGACAGTTAAATCATCCTCTGACTCTCCGGCAGAGGGGGAAGCCGGTTGTGGAGAGTTCTCACACGACTCAGCCTTCACTTCCTTTGAAGATTCTTCATTGTTAAATTCTTCTGACTCTGCACACATCTCCATGTTGTCATCCTGCTCTGCCTGCTCCTCACTGTGTGGAGACATCAGGCTCTCCAGCAGAGCGTTGTGAGAGTCAGAGGGTGATGGTGGAGACCTTTTCTCAGAGTCCTTTCCTTCAGAGGAAGCGGGGCTTGCTAGCTCCTCCACCCCCCTCCTCTGGTCGCCCTCAGAACACGACCCGGGGCTGTTGGGAGCAGAGTCTGAGGGAGAAGACGGGTCATTGTCTCCCTCATCGGGTTTCTGTTCATGCTCATCAGACGGCTCCTGAGTCTCATCACTGTCCTGTGCCACATCGTTACTCAAAGGTTGAGCGCCTCCTCGCTCATCAGCAGAGTTGAAAGCGTCCTGGTCTTCATTTAGGCTCCCCTCAGCATCAGACTGCTGCTGCTGTGAGTTGTTCAAATCCTGCTCCAGATCAGTTTTGTCTTCTTCCTCCTCCTTCTCCATGTTGTCACCCCGACCACCCTCTTCCTCCTCCTCTTCACTTGCTGCCGGGCTGCAGACGACTTCGGGAGATTTTTTTTTCCTTGTCGTGGCTTTCCGTTTCCCACTGGCCTTTCGGTTTGTTACCCGTTTGCCCTTCCTCTTGGCTGGCACCTGAGAAGCCCTGCCTGGCTTGGTGGACTGGCCGGTAGACGAGTCTGACTCTGACGAACTGGACTGTGGCGGTGACGGGTCAGATGCAGGAGCCTCTTCCTGCGTTTTACTGTTGCGTCCAGATCTCCTCGTTGGTAGAGACTCGGCCTCTTTGGTGGGAGCTTTGGAGGTGGAAGCTCGGCCGCCTCTCTTCTCTCCTCCTTTGGGACACGTGATGGCGCAGACCACACCCTGGAACACTGTGGGAGAGAAGTGAAATGAACAAGGCCCGACAGTATTCACAGGGACAATCAGCATTTTCTTTCCAATCTTCAAGAGCAGCCTTTCTTGTAATTAAGCGTCATTTAAGAATCTATCACATCATCCAGACTGTTAAATCATTTGCTTTTGTAGGTTTAGCTGCCAACCATGTCTAGTTTATATGATAAAGCATGATTTGTATATGAACCCCACCTATAAAAAAAATAAAATAATGAATTTGCATTTTTGTTCACCGTGTAACTTAGACATTTAGCAATCTCAAAAAAAGAGATTCACACCAAAAACCTGCAAAGACTCACCAAAATGACCAGGGCCAAACAATGAACTGGAGGTAAAAGGAGATGAGCAGAGTCCAAATGGAAATGGGCTGTGGTTCCAACCAGTGGGATGGAAATTCTGCCTGTAAAAACCCAATAATCAAAACACAAAAACTTAGCTCATTACAGACACCAGGCCATTTATTATACTTCTGTTCACATTTCTATATATATTCTATCTTGATTTAGCCACAGGGGGGCGCCTTCCTACTGGTCAGACAGAGGCAGAGTGCCAGCAGTTTGGTAACAAGTTCGAACACTGGACAAAGAGGGAGCATGCATTATACATGAGTGAGAAAACCTGCTGCCTCAAGATCATGCAAACCAAATCAGCCCTCCCATAGTCAAGACACAGCGTTCACCTCACCTGCACAGTGGCGGAAAGTGAGGCAGACCGTTTATTTGCAGGAATTTTCCTGCATAGAGAATTATGAGGCAACTGCCTACTTCAATTTTCCTCCAGCTCTTGACGGGTGTCATAGTAAAAGCTATTTTCTAATAAGCATTGTACTGTAGATTTCTGTCATTCGTAACTGCGGCTGCAGCCTTTATGCTGATGTTTTGACGCTGTATGGTAATCAGAGCAGTGCACTGGCAAAGATGCTGCCAAAAACTGTTTTTCCCTGCTTTGATACATTTTAATATAGTTTAAAATCGCCCATTGCACATGTCAGTCTGCGTTTGTGAACGCTACTCTAAGCACCTTTACATGTGTGACTGAACGCTATCCTCTACAGTGACTACAAAGCCAGTGTGCGTTTGTTCACACTGGTGAAATGTAAGGAAATAATCATATTTTATAAATTTAGTCTTTTGTAAGAGTGAAGGGATTACTTAAAATACATTTTTTTTATTAATTTTAAAATGTTTCAACAAAAGGGTGAGATCTACATAAATAATATTTTGCCAGCAGAATCAGTTTTACAAGATATCCAGAGTGTCAGTATTTGCGGTCATGTTTTCAGTCTCAAACAGAGCTTTACCAGGTCACGTGACCTTCCGCTGGGACAACTACAAAAAGCTGCAGATGAACTTTAAATATCCAGGAAGGCCATAAACTATAAATGAAAACAATAGCTGATGTTATATATTATTTGACGACAACATGAACACATTAGCTTTTTTGATTTCATTTGATTTACTGACCTTTTATTTATTTATTTTTAAAACATGCATTCATACGTTGCTTGTGAAATGTGTTTGCTTGAGCCAGAAGGAGGCCCCGTACACATGCATGTGATCAGGATGGTACCACCTCGCCTCATTTTGAGCCAAGAAAAATACAGATTTGCCTGCTGTGGAAGTAGGAGTGCAGCAGGGCGTGCTGTGCCAGTGGCTCGTAACAGCCCGATGAAACAGTCTAACCGTTTATTCCTGTTAGGTTCTGTGAGTGTTCACAAATATTCTGCTTTAAAAATAGAACAGAGAATATAAAGAAAGCATCTTGCACCGCTGAGCACTTTTTTTGGTTGCACTTAGATCAGACTAGAGAAAACTGCGGTTTGGTGTGAACATGACCTTGTAGGGTTATTCACAACAACAGGGCAAACAAAGCAATATTCGTGCTCAGTTGGGATTTTATTACCTTGAGGTGCCGTTAGCCGGGATGGGAGCAGCAGGAGAAAGCCACGGACAATCTTGTGCCTGGGGTTTGCACTGTTTGAACCCGGTGTCATATGGTATGTCTTCTGCCACCCAAACAGGTTCTGCACTGCAGGAGGATGAAAACAAGACAAGGGTTTTTTATGAAGTACTTCAAAATGTTAAGACTGAACCACTTACACTTTAAGCCTGATTTATACTTCTGCGTTGAGTCTACCACGTATGCAGACACGCAGTATTACCTGTGCGTTGTTGTCTGCGTCGTTCTGCAATTACAACGCCAAAACGCCAGTTGGCGGTAGCATTATAGCGTCCACTGTGTTGACTTATGCCAGCCGAGATGGCTAACTTCCTGTTTAGCTCTACGCCAATTTGTATGTGGGTAAAATTATAATTTTATAATCTGCACTTTTAAAATGTTATCGACCGAATGGATCACATTCTGATAGTAAAGCGAGTCATTTTGCGAGGTTCTGGCGCTCAAGAATATTGATCCAATGTGTTACAGCCCCTGGATTTTCCGCTAGTTATATTGACTTCAAAGCACGGAGCACTTCCTGCAGGCTTGGAGTAAATGCGATGCTACCAAGCCAACCCATCGTTGTTTTTGCGGTCCACGTTGCTGTAACGTGTAGTTACATTTATGGTGAGGTGCACGCCTGGCTACGGCATAGGGTAAGTGGCTACGCGTAGGATATGGTGTAATTTTGACACATCAGTATAAAATCAGGCTTTAGCTGTAAAATCATAGTGGACACAAATCTTACAACCCTCCAAAAACAAGATGCAGCAGATTATAATCTGTTTGTGTCAGTTAAATCATGTCAATCTTCTAATGACATGTTCAAATTTTTAAGTTTTTTAGAAACAGTTCCACAACGGCAGCCATCTTGGTTGTTTACAAAAATGACTCAAAAAGGGCAATAAGGTCACACTCCCTGTACTCCAGCAGGACCTCTTGACCAATATCCATCTCTGTAAACTAGACTACTGTAATTTTCTTTGATACGGAAAAATGCTGGTAACTAGCAAGCCCTCCCACAGTAATCCCATGACCCATAGGATCTCCAAGAAAAATGTCAGCCTCTATAACAAAACATCTTATTTCACTTTTTTGCTGTTTTAACCACAGGAAGCACTGCCAGCGTATTGTTGTATTTGTCATAATTCATCAGAGGGAAGCATGACTTACATGTCCTGAGCTGATGTTGTCGTTAATGAGATGCAGGGAGACGGTGACCAAGTACAGCACTCTGTTCCTCTCACCTGGAGAAAAAAAAACACTGATGAGGCTAAACACTGAAGAACATTACATGAACATTACACCAAACACTGAAACATGAATAATGAGAGAGGTAAAATGAAAAACACCTTTTTTCTGCTCAGTGAGGAGGGGTCATCATCCTTACCTGGAAAAGACATTTACATTTAAACCTTGCTGACAAAATGTCAGAAAGTATGTCACATATTGCTGAAGTATAGGGGTTTTAACATACATTTCCTCACGAGTCCTTTTGTTTTGGTGTCTGCCGCCCTCTGCACCTGTTGCCGTCTCAATCTTCTTGCCGGCTTACCTCTGAAAAGAAAACACCTGAATTGTTCTTAAAACTGGTTTGCAGAGAAGTTGTGCTCATGGTGAAATAATTCATGGTAATAACAGGGAATTTGATTCTCCTACATAACTTCTCTGATTTATCTTAAGTAAAAGCCTTTGAGACTGGCTAAAGTGCTGACCTTATGATCCTATAAAAGGAAAAACTGGCAGACACTCACTTGGGACAGCCTTTTTGTTCTGGGTTTCTACAGCGGCAACTCTCAGCTTCAGGTTGAGTCGCTCGTTTCCTCACAGGTACCTTAAAACAACAGTGAAAGATTTTGATGTGAAAATTTACAAAGTTTTGCCTGACACGGAGGTCAGTCAAGGCTTTGAGTCCTTGACTGACAGCACAGAGACACACTGTAAACAAACTTTGACTGGTAGATGTAATAAGCTTTTAAGCCAAGGACAGGCTGTACTGCAGCTGTGTTGCATCAAAACCCTAACCTGACATTTGCAGGTGCGTCTTTAAGCTATTCAAAGTCCAAACGAGTAAACAAGCAACTATTTTTGAAGACGTAATGTTTTGATCGGCTTTATGCGAAGACATTCAGTCTACAGAGACAGATGACAAACAGCATGCAGACAGGGGACATCCACTTTAAAGATCATTTTAGCTGAACTTCAAAATAAAGCTTCGTGGAATTCACTGTGTTGAATTATGAAAAGCAGCAGCAAGTGGCCTCCCCCCGAAAGACACGCCATGATATCCTCAACTATGAGACTGACCTGCACACAGCTGAGATTCCCGTCCCATCTGTAAACGTTAGTGAAGGGTCTTCTGTCCACCGGGCAGGAAGGAGCCATCTGCAACTTCAAAGTAAATGAAACAAACAAAACATTAACAATTGCTTTTGTTAATAAGATAGATGTGTTTGCCGTACATGCTTAATTTGGTCAATTTAATTTACCAACTACGCTACAGCACACATTTTGTTGCTCTGATTGGTTGTAAGTCTATCCAATTGTGTCCAGAGGCATTCTAGTCTGCGCCTGTTGATAACGCCCCTTGGAAATGGTAAAATGAACTTAGAGGATCTGATGCCAGGCTGTATTTTTGACATAAAATCAACAAGTTTAATGGGGTTTTTTGCAGCATGGGCTTAAAAAGTAAGTAAATTCTAAAACAAATAATTTAGATGTAAGAATAAACAAGCAAGAAATTCCACAACAATTTCGATAAGCCACCTACACAAGTTGTAAAAACAATCACACCCATTTAGATTACGCTCAAAAGTCCAAACTGGCCCAACACCAATTCACCACTGCTGACGTCACCATTTCACAACTAATGTTATGACATATTTTGTGGAATTCTAAGTTGAGTGTAGCAGCACTGAGCGTCACCTCTGCCCATGTGAGGAGGCATCTGAGGCAGAAGACGTGGCAGCAGCTGTCGGGCATGGCGAGCTCGCCACCTGCGAGGACACCCAGGCAGATAGGACACCTCTCCGCCTCCTCAGCATCCATCCCATCAGGCGGGCCCTGGCCACCTAGAAACACAGGAGAGAAGTTTTAAGACTATTTCTGCTTTAAAAAGCTGCACTAAGATAAAGGTTTTCAATGTGGGACTGCGTGGCTATGTATTAGAACTATTCACGAAACATGTATCTAAACATCTGGCAGAAGACTTGTCCAATCTGGAAAACATGAAATGTAAAACATCACTGTGTAAGGTAAAGTCTCACCAATTCCAGCTCCAGTCATGTCGCCCCCGGCTGTCCTGATCACCACTACAAAACAAGGAGAGAAAATTAAAATGAAGGTGTCATTGATGCAAAGAGCTGCACAGCTGATTAGGCGCACTTATGTACTTTAGGGCTGGATCGACTCATTGACGTCATCTATCATGGAAATGCAAAGCTTTGCATGAGCTGTGTCGGCATGTTGCAACGAAGCACTGCGCCAGTCTAAACTGGGATTCCCCCAGAGAATAAGCTGCAGCTGGAAAAAAAACTTTACCTACAACCATCTTAAGACTAGGGCTGCACAAATCACAAATTGACAAGTTAGTACTTAGCATTAACAAATTAGATACTAATATAGATCATTTTGCTTGCACAAGGATTAAATAATAAATACTATGATATGAAATTATAATGAATGTAATATTTAATATATTATTGTTATACTAACAGTAAACTATTAAGTAAACTATACTCTTTATTTAATACGCTCATGTACAGTTCCTCCTCCAGGTTGAGGATAGAGACTCTGCATTAGACAGATGTACATATGAGTCGGGGCCAGTGTGCCAATATTTGCTCCTTCTAGCCGCCTCCTCTGTAGAGTAACCCCTTGTTCTGTTTTACATGTTATTGTTATAAATATTTTTTATTGCTTAACTTTGTTGAAGTTGAGAAATACACATTTCAAAATGTCAGTATTTCACACATTCCTTGAAAATTAAGCAAGTAGACTCATAGTACCATTTGTTCCATTATAATCGAATCACAATGACAATATTGTCCACAATAATCGCAATATGACTTTTTCCTCCAAATCGTGCAGCCCAAATAAAGACAAGCTAAATGTTGGGGGTATTTTTGACAGAGACCCAACGATGTGGTGCTCTATGAGCTCTGCAAACTGGAAATAGCTTATCACGGACACTTGGGTTGGCCTACAGTGTTTCAATTCTTTTGAATTTGAGGTCCAGTATGTTTCTGATCACGCATCTGACAATTAGGGTCTTCATTCATCATCATAAGAGATCAGTGAGTAGGAAATTTTAAAATAGGCCACCAATATCATTATTCTATGTGCTTTAATGGGAAGTTTTGATGATGTGAAACCTGTGTTAGATTGGTGTGTTTACATTTCCAAGAGGAGTGATTGGCAGTGTTTACACCATCTCCACTACTTGCTGTGGAGTTTTAGAGCAGAACAAGTGTGACGTGATATTCCATTTTAGATGAGATGAGGTTGTATGTTTGGTATGACGTTTGTTACTGATGTGCATGTTTATCTCAACCTGTGCTCAGATGGATCGGCCACCCCCTACTAGAAGCGAACACAAATTCTTAAAAAAATTAAATAAATAAATAACACACGATACACACATACTTCCATGTCTAAGTGGAAAAATTCTATATAGTACTGACAGAATTAAAGTAAAGAGAAACCTTATTATTCCAAGACTGCAGGATGGCTGGATAAAGTTCAGCAGAACAAGAGTGGGTGGTATTGATAAATCATCCCCCTGTAGTGTCCAGATTTTCTACAATTTCAGCCTGTAATGCCACAATTCCCACGTAGCAGAGAACAAAACAGAAACTTTCAGCATCAGAGAAGCCAATATCTGTGTGTTTAGACAGAAAGTGAAGCTCAATTTCACCTTTTTAATCACCGTTTGTGTTAATTCGCCTCAAAGAGCCAAAGTACCAACTGTATGTTACCTATGAGTTACCTAGCTAGTGAGTCTTTTACCCCATCAATGTTTCCCACAGAATGACAGTGTAACTGTGGTGGTGGTCGGCAGGGTGCGTGTTTTCGCCAGGTGTATTTCTATTTCTAGTGGGTCATTTCTTATTTCACTGGTTAGATCTGCTCCATTTCCCCTTCAGTTCCCTTGTCTCCACAAACCTACACCTCTGGCTTCCCCCTCCTCTCCCTGTATGTGTCTGCTCTGGACTTTCTCAGCAGAAGGGGTGTAACATGTACTTGTTCCAGACCGTTAGCAAACATGCTAACATTCACTCATTCGAAACGGTACCACACGAATGGAACATCACTGCTACAAAGAAAAAAACGAGTGTAGTGCAAACGTAGTTCCCTTCCGCTTTTAAACTGACTTAGGAATATATCTTTTATTTATTTATTTTTTTATAAATCTGACCAGGCCTACAAGCTGGGATTAACAATGCTGCACTGTAATCCATAGTTATTTTTTATTATGATATTTTTGAGAATATTTTATTTAGTGGAGAACATGGTAGTAGTTTGAGGCAGTATTTAATTTCTTCTATCTTATTATGCTCAATTTAAAAGTTTGTTTAAACGAATTTTGATGTTTACAAACGTTCATAATAAACAACCAGCAAATGAATGCATTTTTTCCTTACTGTACCAAAAATAAACCACACCATGACTTCAAATCTGAGGTACATACCGAACCGTGAATTGTGTTTACCCTTAAGCAGCATGTTTTATAAAGTCGTCAAAATGACACAGAACTTGTCTTGCCTTGCTGCCACACCGACCACTGGTCGCTATCACAGTCTGAGGGAAGGCTCCTTTCTGTTCCTTGTCACACAAACTGTGGCTGTACACGTTAAAAAAGGTCAGTTTCAAGTATTTATACAGTCTATGGTTCCAAAGTAGACCTAAAGTGACCTTAGATCATTTATATTATCTCAACTGGCAGATGATTTTATTTTTTTGTCTAATAGAGAGGAATGGATCAAAGCAATTAGATGTGTTGAGAAATTTTCTACTGTATCAGGCTTAAGAATGAACTTGAACAAATCTGTTTATTAGGCTACCTCAGAAGTTAATGGTATCCCTGTGAAGAACCCAGTTACATATCTGGGTGTGATAAGAATGAAAAACTCTGCAATAACCTAAACTTCAGCCCTATGATTAAACAAATAATGAAAAAAGGTTCAACATGTGGTGGATGAGGGATATTTCACTGAATAACAGAGTTCTATCTAATACTGAGGGAATATCCAGATCTATGTATCCTTATCACTGGAAATGCCTACTGAAATATGCAAAGAATTAGATAAGATCTTATTTAATTTCATTTGGAGGAACAAATGTCATTATTTAGGGAAAGATACCCTATGCAACATAAAAAAATTGAGGTCTGGAGGTTTAAAGTTTTGAAACCTTAAACAATACTTTCCGAAGTTAAATGGCTAACTAAGTTGATTGAAAAAAAAAAGAAAAAAAAGACTACAAAATCGATAAATTACTGTGAAGTTATCAAACTTTTATAAACAAGCTCTAATGGCCTGGAAATGAACAGATAGTAATTTATTCGCATGGTTGCCGTTATTCAATTCAAAAACACCACAGTATGAAGAATTTGGCGAGAGAGGGCATGAGACGAGGCTCCACAGTCTTGGGTTGCTGCCACACTGGTTGTTGTGGTCGCTGCCACACTGACCACTGGTTGCATCTACTATGTAATACATCTTTATCATAATTCTTTGTTAAATATACTATGTTATCGATTATGCCTACTCTTATTGTTGCACTACACTCACCTAAAGGATTATTAGGAACACCATACTAACACTGTGTTTGACCCCCTTTCGCCTTCAGAACTGCCTTAATTCTACGTGGCATTGATTCAACAAGGTGCTGAAAGCATTCTTTAGAAATGTTGGCCCATATTGATGGATAGCATCTTGCAGTTGATGGAGATTTGTGGGATGCACATCCAGGGCACGAAGCTCCCGTTCCACCACATCCCAAAGATGCTCTACTGGGTTGAGATCTGGTGACTGTGGGGGCCATTTTAGTACAGTGAACTCATTGTCATGTTCAAGAAACCAATTTGAAATGATTGGAGCTTTGTGACATGGTGCATTATCCTGCTGGAAGTAGCCATCAGAGGATGGGTACATGGTGGCCATAAAGGGATGGACATGGTCAGAAACAATGCTCAGGTAGGCCGTGGCATTTAAACGATGCCCAATTGGCACTAAGGGGCCTAAAGTGTGCCAAGAAAACATCCCCCACACCATTACACCACCACCAGCAGCCTGCACAGTGGTAACAAGGCATGATGGATCCATGTTCTCATTCTGTTTACGCCAAATTCTGACTCAACAGAAATCGAGACTCATCAGACCAGGCAACATTTTTCCAGTCTTCAACTGTCCAATTTTGGTGAGCTCTTGCAAATTGTAGCCTCTTTTTCCTATTTGTAGTGGAGATGAGTGGTACCCGGTGGGGTCTTCTGCCGTTGTAGCCCATCCGCCTCAAGGTTGTGCGTGTTGTGGCTTCACAAATGCTTTGCTGCATACCTCGGTTGTAACGAGTGGTTATTTCAGTCAAAGTTGCTCTTCTATCAGCTTGAATCGGTCGGCCCATTCTCCTCTGACCTCTAGCATCAACAAGGCATTTTCGCACACAGGACTGCCGCATACTGGATGTTTTTCCCTTTTCACACCATTCTTTGTAAACCCTAGAAATGGTTGTGTGTGAAAATCCCAGTAACTGAGCAGATTGTGAAATACTCAGACCGGCCGGTCTGGCACCAACAACAATGCCACGCTCAAAATTGCTTAAATCACCTTTCTTTCCCATTCTGACATTCAGTTTGGAGTTCAGGAGATTGTCTTGACCAGGACCACACCCCTAAATGCATTGAAGCAACTGCCATGTGATTGGTTGATTAGATAATTACATTAATGAGAAATTGAACAGGTGTTCCTAATAATCCTTTAGGTGAGTGTATATATTGCGGTCTGTGTGGTTATAGCCTATCTACAGTAACAAATATATCTAGATCATAATACTTTGTTAAATATAGCCTAATAATTTTTGATTAACTATATTCTTATTGTTAAAATCAGTCTAGCTTAGATTCAACCAACAAGTGGTCACCACACTTTCCTTCACAGGTGACAACACTGGCCTTCTTCTTGTGGCAAGAACCAAAGATAGGCAGATTTATTACTGCAATATACAGTGCAACAATAAGAATATAGGCATAATCGATAATATTGTAGGCTATATTTATCAAAGTATTATGATCTAGATAGATGTAGCCTACTGTAGACAGGTTACAACCACACAAACTGCAATATACTGTATGCCTACAGTGCATCAATAGGATATAATATAGTATATTTTACAAAGTATTGTGATATAGAAAGATGTACACACTTTCATTCACAGGTGATAACACAGGCCTGTTTGTTCAAAACTGTGAGCACGATAGTGGCTGATGGTGGAGAAGTGCAGCCGTCCTGTCAGTCATGCAGTAAGGTAGTTTATTAGGAAGGTATGCTCGTTTAAGTCTGTTTATCTTTTTAATGTAAATAATAAACAGATTTGTTCAAGTTCATTCTTAAGCCTGATACAGCAGAAAATTTCTCAACACATCTAATTGCTTTGATCCATTCCTCTCTATTAGACAAAAAAAATAAAATAAAAAATTGTATCATCCGCCAGTTGAGATAATTTAAATGATCTAAGGTCACATTAGGTCTACTTTGGAGACTGTATAAAAACTTGAAACTGACCTTTTTTAATGTGTACAGCCACAGTTTGTGTGACAAGGAACAGAAAGGAGCCTTCCCTCAGAGACTGTGGTACTCGTTGTGGCAGCCTGGCAGCAAGGCAGCGACCAGTGATCTGTGTGGCAGCGACCAGTATCTTTAGCGCCCCTAGTGGTAGTGACCAGTGGTCTGTGTGGCAGCGACCAGTATCTTTAGCACCCCTAGTGGTAGTGACCAGTGGTCTGTGTGGCAGCGACCAGTGGTCTGTGTGGCAGCGACCAGTATCTTTAGCGCCCCTAGTGGTAGTGACCAGTGGTCTGTGTGGCAGCGACCAGTATCTTTAGCACCCCTAGTGGTAGTGACCAGTGGTCTGTGTGGCAGCGACCAGTGGTCTGTGTGGCAGAGACCAGACCACAGAATTGGCTACAACCCCCTCTCCTATTTTCTCTGTTTCTCAATCACCTTGTGTTCACAGCGTAAGCGTGATGTGCGACAGTAATAAATGTCCATGCGAAACAGTATGCTATGTAGTTATATGGATTAAACGAAGCATTGATGCAAAGAATTTGCGTCAATGCATTTTAGTAATCAATTTAATCGATCGATTAATCGTTTCAGCCATACATTACATTTACACCATAGTGTCCCATTAATTACCGAGACCATGGCGGCCCGCCAGTTAATTTGCACCGCCATAGTTTAGAAATGGACGGAAAACATTTTTACACATCTCATAATAACATTACAGACCTCTAACGTTGTGTTTTGTAGGCGCTGCTGTAAGCTCACACACTTTGGCATCCAACTCAAGACAACCACTTTTCTTTTGAGGTAACTACGGTAATGTTAACCGTCTGTTTCTGTCACTTGTTTGTGAGAAGGCGATTAAGCTAGCTGCACCTAAATTTGGAGTGCACACGTATTAAAGGCTTTATAGGAAATCCACTGAAACGGACCAGAGCGAACCGACAGGCAGGTTAGCGACTTTATCCTGTCAGTTTCTCTCTTTACAAAGACAAGGGTTGCAGTATGAGAGTCCTACCTGAAGAGAGGCTGCGAAGTCTGATATTAACAACTCATATTACGGCATACGAGAACTACACACAACATTATTTACCAAATTAGGCCGGACTTTATAAATTCAACGCGAGGATACACGTGACAAACTCCGGTTTTCAAACTAAGGTGACTATACAGGATGGAAATAAGATTAATTGGATTATATTCACAGAAAGTATAAAACATATTACGTGTGTCAATTAAAAGTAAAAAAACAACAATAAAACTGTTTATTCTATTCTTTGATTTAGGGTTGCTGGAAAAACATTAAATTTGTTGACTTTTGATGCGGTCTCATTATTTATAACTATACAATGGGTTTATGATCAAATAGTTTACTAGAGCACAACATTGTTTACAAGAGTTCTTCATAGACAGCCTCTTAATTTTGCACCACATTAATGCATTTAACTTTAAATTTTACAAAATATTCTTCTGGGACCCGCCAAGAGGGTCCGAGGCCCACCCACCATTGTCTCTTAAAATCCTGTGAGAAACACTGCACCTGGTATTAATATGCGTCTCCAGTGTCCACATTCAGATCCAATGACTCCGTTTAGCTGAAAAAACGTAGGTAGCATCCTCCTCTCGTTTGTGTGGGTCGACATAAAACACTCTTATAGACGGTTTAATAACTTCTGAGCCAGCTTTTCACCGTGATTTGTTTTCCTCCATGGATTATAAACACATTTTGTGTGTAATAATAATGTAACAACTCAGACATAAAAGTGAAAATTAAGTTCCACCTGGCGTCATTTCCTTGGTCTTTCCTCATAATATGTACTCCTTTCTGTTATCTTAGTAGTTTATGTTATGAGTTTTCTTCAACAGCACACAAGTTCACATTCACAAACGTATTTGTATTTACACTTCTATGTGGAGGGTTTGCCTAATCAGATCACAATCCTTCCTCAGTGGGTCTTGAGTGCATTTACACCGGTACTCTCATTAGGTCAAGCACTATCCGACTGCAATCCAATCACCTAAAATGCATTTTCATGACAGGCATAAAAGGGGCCTTAAGGTTTGTGTACAGCTTAGCCTCTGACTGAACTCAGAAATCTCTACATTTAAGAAGCAGGCTCATAAAGCCTGGGATGACATGTCTTTGACTCAAATTGAAACATTGTCAACTCAAACAGACATCAATGTGTGTCACTCCAGGCAAATCTGCATCTACACACATCTTTACATTGACTTTGTTTGCAACTGCACTGTCTCTTTGTGTTCTGTCTGAACACATCCCAAGAACTCATTTCATACTCCTGCAGTGTAGAAATATTATGCATCATAGTAATGATATGGAGTAATACATATTGATGGATTAAAGTCTTTTACAATTTCTATGTCTTCCTGTCAGCATGATAAGCATTTTAAACAACCTTTATCCAGGTCTGTAACAAAAACTGCTGTCTTGCTGTATATGCTGAAAAGCCAGTATGAGTCTACCCATCAGTCATGACACAGCCATTCTTCGCTTGATGCCTGTTGAAATGACAAGTTGCACAAAAATGCAAATTCTACTTGGGGCAATAGAGGTACCACAAGGAGACAGTATTAAACATAAACTTCTTAGTGTTCTCCTGTGGACAAACAAACTACTATGAATGTGTGTGAATGGGTGAATGTGACATGAAGCGTGAAGCACTTTGAGTGGACCGAAGACTAGAAGGCACTTTATATGTGGAGTCCATTTACACATAACCACCAGGTTACTTGGACACCCTGATCTTTGGTATTTCTGTACTGCCATTTCTTCTTACTTATTGGCGAAATATGCTGATTCAACGCATCTGTGTTGAGCTTGGCCTTGTGTATTCATTTGTTGCAAAGGGAATAGGGCTGCAGCCAGGTTTCACAGTATATCATGGTATGAAAATAGACAGTTAATACCATGTACATTTGCTTATCTGCGACCTACTTCTAAAAGTTCAATCTCAGAAGTGAAAGTGAAATATATTCCCATCCTCACTTCGTTTGCCAACAGTGACCTAAAACCATTACAGACTGCTAGTGCCACGACGTGTGACCAGTTGAAGTGCGAATGCTCTTTTCACTTGTGCTTTTTAGGCTTTAAGGTTCAGAATCAAGACTTAATTGTTATTTTTCACACTAATGGTGAACAAACCTAACTGCAGCAGGCCTCCAGCAGGACTTTAGCTGGCTGGCAGTGAGCAGGAAGCCTGTACCGGAGATTTAAGCCTCTGATTGCTGACCTAAAACTGTCTTGGCTTTGACCGTTTTCATTGTGACGATCTTAAAATGTGTCAAAGTGAAAATTGTTTAACAGACTCAAGCCACAGCCCCGATGATAGGGGAGCCTAAGGTTTCACTGATGAACACTTAAAATAAACCAAGTAAACACAGGCCATTAGTCACTAGCCTTGTTCTCCAACTGTCATTTCAACTTAGCACTGCCGGATAACGTAAAATATAAGCCAGGAAACCTCCGTCAAGCGTCAGCACAGCGTCAGATTAATCATAATGCTATCTTACAATAAATGGGGTGATTGGTTTAACTAAATAGCACTTCAGTAGGCAGGCAGATACTCGTGTAAGCTTGCTGCTGTTTTGAGCCAGCACGGCCTGGCTCCTGCATACACAACATTAGCACCAACTTCATCAACCAATGCCAACACGACGGTGACAACATGGTTGTTGTTGGTTAGCCAGACGGCTACAGTTAGCCAAAAACACAGCTGCCTAAGAGCTAGATAGTTGTCGTTAGCAAGGCAGCAAGAATGTCTAAATAGTGTCTAATATTAGCAACGTTGATTACACTGAAGGTCATAAGTTAGCTAGCTAGCGAGTTTAGCTGAAAGCTAACTAGCTGCTTAGAACAACAGCACCTGCTTACGTCGCTTTTAGCTTGCTAGCAGTTAGCTCTATTTAGCTAGCGGTACGTGTTACTACTCACCTTTAAGTGCTACTGCGCCTGGTTTGCAGCTACTAAACTGGTTTTAGCGTCCAAACTCCTGCTACGAAATGCTGACGAATCGCACTATCCGGGATTGTTTTTGGCGAAATACGAAGCGTAGCTTTCAGAAAGTCTCAGCCACATGTCTCGCGGTCTGGCCGCGAGTTGGTGCAGCTGGCGCTCCCTACCGGAACCGCCGAGCATTAGAAAGCAGAGTGAATTTATCCATCCGGTGACATTTACACTACAAAGAAGCGAGCAACAGTTGGTACAGCAGCAGAATCTATGATTGAATTCCACTAAATTTAAAGTGGACATAACTGGCATGATATGCCTGTTGTCTCATTGGTAGATGTGTCGCAGTGGGAATTGAACCCTAGTTTCCCACAACCAAGACACTTGTCTTATCCACTTAACCATCGCCACACCATTAGGTGTAACATCCACATTTAGGTTTGTCCAGTCAAATTAAAACAACATAATAGTACATCTCCCTTTTACCACACAGAAGTGGCCAAAACAGTATATTATCCTGCTGATTAATAGCCTACATTTAAATAACACAGTGGCCTAGACAAGACATCACAAGGTGTGTTCACTTCTTTCATTTAACCTGAGGAAGACCTTGAAATTGGTTGTGTCCATATAAAATTAGCCAGCACAGTGTCAGCACAGACAGGTGAAAACCATAGAATGTATATGAAAAGGTGAAAACAAAGATAAAGTGAGGCCAGAGAGGTTTTCATCTAGTTCACTGCCTACTAGTGGTCACAGGGAGAAACTGTAACGTAAAAAATACAGTGTTTGCCAACATATGGTGTTAATGTCAGTACAATCATTATTGATACCCATATGTACAAATCATTATAGCATCTCAAACATCTTTATTTTGATAGTTTTATATGAAAATGATTAATAATATCAGCACGTATACACATCACTCTAAATGTGATTATTAAAAACAAAGAAGTCTCAGTATTGTTTGAAGTCAAAATACTGGTCAAAACTGTATCACTTAAATTTATGTTTTTGTACTAACAATGAAACAAATGACCCATGTAATGTGAAAGGTGTCTCAAAGTGACAAAGCCTCAGATAATTATCATCAACGCAGCTCGCCCTAGGCTATCAGACTTTACGGCCTCTTTACTTCACTGTTTTGGTTTTATGGCCTGCAACTTTACTGTTTAGTTTCAGTCTCACAGCTCTCATCAGTGTCCAAACCAGACAAAACAAGCAGCTGTTTTCAGCAAAAATGCTCTCATATAGTTTGCTATCTGGCCAGCACCAAATAACCAACAAATGTAGCAGCTAGCTGGTGAACAAAGTGGAGCAGTCAGCAGCTAAAAGCCAAAAATTCCCCTCAGGGATTGGTGGCAACCCAGGAGCTAAGGGAGAGTGGATATTGGCCTTGGTAGACACAAACAACTCCAAATAAATGCAAATGTTGCCCCGTGTCTGCTCGGTGTGTCAATAAGCCTGTTTTGCTAGCTTTCTTCATATAAACTTTATAAGTTTCTAATTTGTCAATGATGTATTACAGCTTTTTGGTAACCTTCTCAAATAGTTAAAAATAAATTAATACTAAAGGCTAAAGGCTGACATTTTTCAGGAATCCTGTAGCATTCCCGCGGGATGGGAGTCAGTTTCATTGTTCATCATGGAACAGGAAAAAATGGGAGCTGGCGGGATGGCGGAAATAATAGGTCAGTTTTTATATATAAATATGCAGTTCTAATACGAATAAACAAATGTTCTGATTTTTATATGATATGTGATACAAATTTATTAAATAGGATTAACCCCTTGAGATGAAAAATCTCGTTTTCAAGGAGGGTCCCAAAAATATCAGGAATGGGATGGGAAGCTAGTCATTC